GAAAATTTGTTAAGGCTGGTGTCAAAGAGGGAAACTTCAGCTGCTTAGGTGTTCTTCACTCTGCGTTAACTTTAGCATGTGGCACAGGATAAAAGTTCTCAAAGATGGCTATGAAGAATTCAAAATTTCAGCAAAATTTGTCTCTTGATTAGAGCTGTTGTCCTACATAAATCAGCTGCAGACCATTAAAAATGCACTTAATTCTCAAGTAACACAGATCATAGCAGCAGGCTGTGAATTTAAAAGGCACATAAAGGCATTTGCTAAACATAGCAGTAATTGATATACTGAATGTATCGCTGGAGGTTGAAAGTATTGTGTGAATCAGGGTTGTGCAAACAAGGCATCATCTCCCAGTACATTGCTACTCCCTGTATATGTTATCAGTATTTGTATAAGGATGAAAATACACTTATGTACTTTTTATTGTATCAGAATCAAAATGAGTGGCATCCTGTGTGGTGGCAATAAGGACTTCCAACAGTATTTTAAAGTGTTTTTGTTCAAGTAATATCAATTCTTACAGTTTCAGACCTCATGTTCATTATTTGTTTGGTATTTGGGAGAAAACTGCTCAGGCTGATTTAATGGAGCTCAAATGATAGATAACCCTGAGATCCATCCTCATGAACCACTCTTTCTTTGTAAGTGCTGAGTAACTGTGATGCTAGGTTTTCCTAATCCTAAATACTGTAGCTTTCTGCATTTTTAACATGTTTTTTTATGCACAGAATACATATGTATCATTTCAACATGTTTTTTCAATTAACAGTCACTGGGGGTTTGGGTGCAGTAGCTCTAATGAGCTGCTCACCATTTCCTCCACAGGTATGCAGCTGAAATGCAGCCTAAGGCAGATATTAATTACAAACAATCAGTTTAGTGTTGATGGTGTGAAAGGAGCTTGAGAGGTCTTGGTTTCAGCTTCTGGTATGAACTCATTCTTATGCTTTGTGTTAGAGGCAGAAGCCAGGAGCTGTTTATCAGCCATGGCTGTACTTATTAGTCCAGGCAAATAGAACATATCTCCAATTTGGCAAGGGCCTGGGAGAGAATTATTCTGTATGTA